AGTAAATGAAGCAATAGAGTTAAAGGCTAGTGCATATTTTAGCCTATGGCATATCTGAATTCAAGCCAGTCACATTTCAAGGGTTCTATAGCCACAAGTGGTTGCTATATTGGGAAACCTAGCCCTAGAATATATTTCCCAACCTTAGATGCACATTAGCATTACACAGGAAGCATTTATGAATTCCATGCATAGGCAGAAGCCTGGACCAATCATTATATCAGTATCTTCAATGTTAGATCCTGGATGTCAGTACATTTAAAGCTAAAGAGATTCCTAAGAGCGGCCAACTCGCCTAAAGCAATGGTTCTCTACCCTGGGAGATTTCCCCCCAAGGGGACATTTGGCAGTGTCTAGAGACATTTTTGGTGGTCACGCCTGGGGGGAGGGTTCTGCTAGCATCTTGTGGATACAGGTACTGGCTCTGGGCCAGTACCAGTACCTGGGCACCAGGGATGCTGCTAAATATCCCACAATGCACAAAATGCTCCTCAAGAATCAGCCAGCCCAAAATACCATTAGTGCTGTTAACCTAAAGAAAGGTAGAGGTTTGCATTTGTGAGTGTGTGTGTAAAAGAATGTTTATACTGTGTGGAGAAGGAAGCCTAAAGGGGAATTAAAACAGAGTGTATAATAATTTAACATCTTGGAGGTCCTATGAAAGACTGTGATCACGAACACATTTCAGATAAATCATCTTGCACAGAAGAGAGGACATCTGGTGAGCAGGTTGGGGCAGAGGTAGAGGTACACTCCCTGGGGGGCTGGTGTCAGGACCTCCCCACATACCAGAATCTGCAGATGCTCACGTCTCATATAAAATGCCATAGTATTTGCATATAACCGAGGCACACACTCCTGTACACTTTATATCTTTAGATTACTTATAATGCCTCATATAATGTAAACGCTACGTAAGTAGTTAAGCAGTTGCTACAGTATATTTTTTGTTGTCCCCCCCGCAAATTATTTTTGATCTGGGATTGGTTGAATCTGCAGGCGTGAAACCCACAGGTATGGAAGGCCAACCGTATGATACCTGAAAAGAGTAAGAACAGGTAGAACACAGGAATAAGGACAGACACCAGCAACCTTTATGAAGATCTAGCATTTATGTGTAGGACAGGTAAGCTCCTCCAAGCCTCAATGTCATTTCTGAATTTCTAAAATCCTGGAGACTGTTCCTCCTTCCTCGGAAGGAATGGTTTCTGCTTACCTCTGAGTTCATTCCGTACTCTCTCAGACAGATCCGTCCGGTTCATCTTGTTAAAGACCATGATGGCCGCCCACTGCACCCAGTAGCTGGGGTAGTGGTTGGAGAAGATTTCTGCCAGCTGCTTCCCATCAGCCTTGTCTACCTCCGTCTGGATGACCTGCGGCAGCTCCCTTTCCTGGCGAAGTGTCCTCACTAAAGACTTGAACTTGCTCAATTCATCCTGATCGAGCTGTTCCAGAAGAGCCTGCAGGTCGAAGTCCAGCTGTCCGGAAGGCTCCATCTCGTCCCACGTGTGAGATCTGAGCTTCGGCTGGGTGGCAGAATCAAGGGGAGAAATGGAGACAGTGAATCAGCACTCCTGTCTCAAACACCGGTCACCTCTGTGCCACAAGCAGACATATCCTCACTGCTTACCTTGCTACTTCAAGAACAAAGTCCCCAATAGAGATAAAATTCACACAGAACTCTCCTACTGCTTGGCTTGGCATATGTGGTTCGCCTTTTGTGTCTTGGACTCTGAGAACATGCAAGGCCCTGAGGGCAGAGGGTTAGTCTATACTGCTGCATCTCATGTTCCTAGCAGATTGGCAGCTTTCAGTAAATTTGTGTACAAATGAGCTAATGAGACCTATTAAGGTTAGCTCTTGATAACAGCATGATATATAGTAATCTTAGGAAGTTTATGGAGCTTGGGTACTAGAGTGGGATCTTCAGTTGAAAATATCTTGACACTCACTATACAGTTATGTGGTGTGGCTTCTCGATTTACTGTTCACCTAGGAGACAGCACACCTGGATTTGAAACCTTCCTCACTGAACACAGGGGATGGATGTGTTCATGGCATAAATTGTGGTGATGGTTTCATGGGTGTATACTTATCTCCATACTCATAAGGTTGTATACAGTCGTCTCCCCTTATCCGTGGGGGGTACATTTCAAGACCCCCAGTGGTTGCCTGAGACCATGGATAGTACGGACCCTCATATATACTGTTTTTTTCCTATGCATATGTACATACCCAAAGTAAAGTTTAATTTATAAATTAGTTACAGTAAGATTAACAATAACCAGTCCAAGATGGCTACAAAGCGACTGACGGGCGGGTAGCACATACATCATGGACACGCTGAACAGAGGGACGATTCACAGCCTGGGTGAGACTGAGAGGGAAGGCTCTAGATTTCATCATGCTACCCAGAATGGCACATGATCTACAACTTATGAGTTATTTCTGGACTTTTCCATTTAGTATTTTTGGACCATGGTTGACCACAGGTAACTGAAACTATGGAAAGTAAAACTGCAGATAAAGAGGGACTACTGTACATTAAATATGTGCTTTTTTATTTTATTTTTTCTAGCTCTACTGTGGTATAATTGGCAAATAAAATGGTACATATTTATGTTATACAATGTGATGTTTTGATATATTTATCAATTGTAAAATGACCAAGCTAATTAACACATCACCTGACACAGTTATCTTTTTTGTGGTAAAAAATGTAACATCTACCGTCTCAGCTAGGTGTGGTGGCTCACGCCTGCAATCCTAGCCCTCTGGGAGGCTGAGGCAGGAGGATCAGTTGAGCTCAGGA